TGCTTAGTGGTGAGAAGAGTCGGGACTGAGACCTCTGTGTCGTCTTCAAAGAATCTGGCCAAGAAAAGCCTTTCCAAATCTACCCATTTCTGAATAGATCCAGCAGGCAGTTTCATAAACCATTCAAAGGCGACACCTTTGAGGGTACCGATGAATAGCCGGGTCAGAATGGCGTCGTTTGACACTACATCTCCAGTCTGAGACTTGAAGTAGTAGATATGCTGATTTGGTGATCCTGTACCGTCATTGCGTTAAGGCGGGCTTCTAGCTCATCCACTTTGGTTGACTGAGGATACAACTCTTTTTCCACCTCCTTCTCACCTTCAGAAGAGGATCCCAGGTTGTGAGTCTCACGATCTGAATGTTCGTGTACTTTTTGCTTTCCCTTTGATGTTGTCTTCCGGGAAGATTCAGGTTTTTGGCCTTTTTCTGCCAGAACCTGGGCCAACATGTCCTTTAATTGGAGAAGTGTCTCCTGTTGCGCCTGGAGCATGACATGATGTTCGTCCACCCTTTTGACTATGTCTTCGGGGTTTCCCGTCATGTAAACAGAAACTTTTTGTGCTCCAACAGAGCTTGAAGATTGAGATTCAGCTATTGCCGAATGTTCATCACTCGTCGTAATCCCTTTGGCTAACTTTTGATAATTAACCGGTCGTATAGCTCCGGTCTGTGACCGAGTATGCCGATACACCCCTTCGAACTCGTCACAAATTTCTCGAACAGTCGGGGAATGGCTCCTTTCTGATTCATCAGAACTAGCTAGATACGAGATCTTCCCTCTGCCGGTCATGTTGATAGTAACCTGAGGATACTCGGCTTCAGAATCTTTCTTCTTATGATGGCGTCGTCTCTTGGTAGGTCTGACGACATCCGCCAATCTGTCGAACACCGATTGTCGGGGTTCAGGTGCGCAACATTGGCACTCGGAGAGGACTGCTGAAATAATTCTCTCACAATGGCAGGCATGATTCGCCTGTTGTATTGGTTTTCTTCTAGAGAGTAACTCTCGCAAGTCGGGGCTTTGAGATTGACTCTTCATCGGAGATATGACCCTCTGTTTCTGAGGGGGCGAGACTGGTTCTTGGTGGACGTGAATCTTGAGTCCACTTCGACCCTTTTTAACTTGGCGGATCACATCGTATTCGGGAAGCGAAGTGCGAGGGTCGCGTTGTGATTTAAAAACACCAGGCCTTGGCTTGCGTTCAGTCGATGAAACAGACCCCTTAAGGTCTTGTTTTGTTTGGACGCACTCATGAAGCGTCTGTTTTCCCTTAGCAGGGCTGTGTTTTGATTGGACAATGCACCACTGAGGGTCGCGTTTAAGTTGAATCACCCGAGGTTCATAATTGGATTCGTTACCTCGAAGTGTACGTTCTGGAGTATGAACGCAATGTTTAGGCAGAGCTTCAGAAATGCAATCCTTGCGTCGGATCAAGGATTGATTTTCTCGGAGATGTGCTCGTCGGATGGATCTTCTCGGTCTTCGAGCGGCGTTTTTCTTGGCTTGTTTCAAAGCTTTAGCAGCAGTGTCGTCGGCGTTGATCGTGCCTTTCTCTGTCGTAGGCCTTTTACAACCAAGTACACGCTGTGTCGTGGGATCTTCAGATTGCAGAGCAAGTTTGAGGCTTTGGCCAAAGGAGAGGGCTTTCTTTGGCATCTCAGCAGTAATTAAAACCTCTTTAGAGTTCTGACAGGCATCTCGCCTAACCTTGGGGCTAAGCGATCCAGAGGAGAGAGCCTCCTCGTACTTGGCTTGGTCAAACTCCACAACAAGAGTTTCGACGGTTGTTCCAGTGAGGTGAACGTCGGATTGCGTCACCACTTCCTCGTCAGAGAAGCTTTTCCCCAGCGGAGTCGCCATCTTTTGTTTGTTGGAAAATTTGTAATAAAAACAAAGTGAATGAAAGAACTATATTTGATTTTATTCTCTCTAACTGCTTAGAAAAAGAATGATTACAACTCTCTCAACTCTTGATTACAATTGGATTTCCGATTACAAAAGAGAAGAGAATGATCTGGATTCTCTCCTTTGTTTAATTCTGGGTCCTTCTAGGTAGCGATGAGATGCCTCCCTCGAATGTTTGCGTCGAGTTTGCTTCTCGTTGACGATCCAAATATCTATGCTCACTGGAACAATAACCTTGTCTGGTTGATAACTCTTGATGAGTTTCGTGATTCAGAATAAACTCTGATAATAGAGTTGTTCAAACCGAAAATAATTCGGTTAATAAGCCAAATATCGACGGTTTAGAGCTCCTCCGTTTGTTGATTTCCCAGACTGTGTAAGGAGTTAATCCTCTTTTTCTGATTCTAGGAAATCTAATCGAAAGATCCTCTCCAAGTAATCAAAATCCAATCTCCAAAAATCCGTCCCTCGATCTGATTATCAAAAATCCGATCTAAGCAATCCAAAAAGAGAGATGCTAACTCTGTTGAGTTTGTTGATATTTATAGGGGGATTAGGGGTGTAACTACCCCCATAATCCGCTCCTAAATGGGGGCTTAGTTACCCCATTGATCGGGTGTAACAACCCACGTAAGCCATTCCTCAAATCGTGGGTGAAGAGCAGTTTTCGAAACTGCCTGGATCGTGTTTGAACAGGTCAGAATTTTGACATGCGTTCTGGCCTAAATTCTGTATTTGAACGCAATATCTGGAGGTGCGTTCTGCAGCGATATTGAGCTGCGTTCTTCAATGTTTGAAGGTGCGTTTGACAGCAGTGTAGAACTGCGTTCGACGTTAGTTGGAGCTGCGTTCGACGTCGGTTGGAGCTGCGATGATGGGCTGCGTTGGGCAGCGATGATGAGCTGCGTTGGGCAGCGATGATGAGCTGCGTTGGGCAGCGATGATGAGCTGCGTTGGGCAGCGATGATGAGCTGCGTTGGGCAGCGATGATGAGCTGCGTTGGGCAGCGATGATGAGCTGCGTTGGGCAGCGATGATGAGCTGCGTTGGGCAGCGATGATGAGCTGCGTTGGGCAGCGATGATGAGCTGCGTTGGAGCTGTTTGTTGAAGCTGCGTTCAGGTTTCTCTGTCTTTATATATGGATGACACCAATGACCAGTAAAGGAGGTCTTATTCAGGCCCTTGGTTTGAAGAGGTCGTCGATTCGTAATCTCTTTCTACCAGAGTGTTGCTAAAGATCGTCGTTTTGTAATCTTTGCTTTAGCTCCTTGACATGTGAAAGTCTTCAAATTGTAGCCTTCTGGAAGTCGTCCGATTGTAACTTCCATCATCAGTGTTTGATGGGGAATCAGCTATCTTCTATGATTTTTAGATAGCCTACAATTGTATTTTAAAAAAACCCGAAATTGCACTTACACTGATCTTCCCTAGACGTCTGATCCCCAAAATACATGTCACGCCCATTAACGCGATCTAATGGGGGGGGGGGGATGGAGGGAAATTTCCCACCCTTTTTTGAACTCTATCATAAGCAATAACTCATGTTAGTTCTAAGTTATTTAATGTTAGTTCTAAGTTACTTAATGTTAGTTCTAACTTATTTTATGTTAGTTGTAACTTAGTTCTAATTCATGTTAGACCTAACTTTAAGTAGAACTAATATGAATACTTTAGGCTATTTGGTCTAGTGGTAAACCTTATTTTATGTTGCTAACTTTAAGTAGAACTAATATGAATACTTTAGGCTATTTGGTCTAGTGGTAAACCTTATTTTATGTTAGTTCTAACTTAGTTCTAATTCATCTTTAGGCTATTTGGTCTAGTGGTAAACCTTATTTTATGTTAGTTCTAACTTAGTTCTAATTCATGTTAGGGCTAACTTTAAGTAGAACTAATATGTTTATACCATGTTGTAGCGGCTATGTTAGTTCTAGTTGTGTTCATGATAGTTCTGATGGTTCTCGTATTAGTTCTAGCTAATTTCATGTTAGTTCTACTTCCAGCTAGTGTTGGTTCTAATATAAGCGTTAGTTCTAGTGACTATGTTAGTTCTAGTTGAGTTCTGTTAGAACTGACATAATACCTGTTAGAACTGATACTAGAGAAGCTAGAACTAACACATCATCAAGTAGAACTAACATGGCGTTTAGACCCAACAATTACGTTAGAACTAACGACTTAAATAAATTAGAACTAACACAATACCAGTTAGAACTAACACTAGAGAAGCTAGAACTAACACATCATCAAGTAGAACTAACATGACGTTTAGACCCAACAATTACGCTAGAACTAACGACTTAAATAAATTAGAACTAACACGATATATGTTAGAACTAACATTGAAGAAGGTAGAACTAACATTGCATAAATTAGAACTAACATGACGTTTAGACCCAACACTTACGCTAGAACTAATACATTAAATAAATTAGAACTAACACAATACCAAATAGAACTGACACTAGAGAAGGTAGAACTAACACATAATCAAGTAGAACTAACATGGGATTTAGACCAATAATTACGCTAGAAATAACGCATTACCACTACAACAAATTGCACTTTTCCCGACGCTTATTCCCGACGCATGGTTAAATACGTCGCCAAAAACTATGTTTTTCCCGACGATTTTAGTTAGCGTCGGCAAAACATATATTTTTCCCCACGTTTATAATTAGCGTCGCTAAAAGTGTATATTATTTGCGACGTTTTAACTTAGCATCGGTAAAAGTGTATGTGTTTCCCGACTTTTTTCATTTTCGTCGGTAAAAGTATAGCTTTTAGCGACGTAAAAACATTCGTCACAAAAAAGTATACATTTGGCGACGCACGTTAGCGTCGGCAAAAGTGTAGCTTTTAGCGACGAACAGTTTTGCGTCACTAAAAGTAAACATTTTGCCGACGCTATATTACGTCGGAAAAAATATAGCTTTTAGCGACACAAAACTATTGCGTCCTAAAAACTATACATTCGCCGACGCTTTACTATTCATGTGCGTCGCCAAAACCAGCCCCCTCCTCTTTCACTTCCCCGCCTACTTTTCAATTCCTCCCCCTCTTTTTTCATTTCCCTCTCTATCTAAAACGCCCGCCGCAAATCCGCCATCGAATGGTTGCTATTGTGGTGGCTGATTTTTCTTAACATCTTGGGACAAACTTCGTAGAGAATTTGAAAGCATCTCAGGTATGGTTCCAATTTTATTTAATTTTGATTAAAATTTATGATATGCATTTTCCAGCACACACGAGTAGGCTGTCTGATTCATTAAAAGTGCAATCAAAATGCCTAACTGGCTTTCTAATATTTCCTAATCGAATCAGAACAATCTATTCATATGTTTTTTAGTTGATAGCATTTGCACTTTGATTTTCTTGAACAAGGGCTCTGCATAGGATTCCTTTCCCCTTTTGAGACTGGTTCATGGGCCCAGAGCCAAACATCTGGAAAAAAAAACAAAGGTCGAATTTTCATAAAAGGCCCAACCTGTTTAGCTCCTGCCATGGATTCTGAACGTTCCTTGAAGCTTCTCCCGGTTATCAAGTATCTTCTACAAGAACGATCTCATGAAACAGTCACAAGACTCAAACCTCATATAAACTCCTTTTTTGTGTTTCAGATATCATTGAATTAATTATTTGAAGGCAAGATTTGCATCAGTTGGAGGCATATTAAGGATGAGTGCATGGCTTATTTTATTTGTTGAACTGGGTGCAGTAGATTCAAAATTTAACTGCAAAATCTACCACATTTCCTTTTTAATGGTTATTTGTTGTCAAATTTAATGACCTGATTGTTTTACAAGAAGAATAAAAGGAACATCTTCCGTGTAGAGCAAAGTTAAGAAATGATTGGGGTCAAGTTGTTATCATTAGTTAATACTCTGTTAATGCTTGATATAAGTTGGAAAAAAATGCTATGGTTTCTGTGGTCTTGTTAAACAATGATTAGTTACTAATGGGAGCTAACAAGCGTTTGTTGTGGTTGTGTTACCAGTGACGTGGATCACCTCTATGCAATTGATTGCATTGGTTCACGTAGCCAGTGAACTATTTATGTGTAGCGTAGACTTATTATGCAAAAAAAATGAGAATCTTGAGTTAATGGGTTTTCATGCGTCTTTCGTCTATCCTGATCAATGGCAGAGATGAAGTTTTGTGACAAAGATCCATCTGATGAAGATGGATGCGCTGGTTTTAGAGAGATCATCATACATGATTGTCAATTGGTAAAAAAAAAATCTACAAGTCTCATTGGGAGCTTTTCAACTTGAAATTACTTGGCAGTTTAGGAAGATTTAAGTGTTAGTTACAATAATGACTACTGCAATAGTGGTCCCTGGAATTATGTCTTAAGGATATCATTTGAAAGTTGATTTGGAGAAAAGAGGAAATAAAATCATGTTTGGATAAAGAAAAAAATTCTAATTCTTTTTTTATCATTAACCTATAATATCTGCATGCTGATATCTTTCCAGACGTAAGAAGAAACAAGCTTCATTAAGAAATAATAGTTGCATTAATGATTGTGTATGAGGATCATTTTTTAATCTTTTTAGATGAGTAGTTTCTTGTTAGAAGAGGATATTTTGTTATTTACCATTTTGTATGCAAGGATTTTTCAAAATATAAAAGGTGTTATTTCTTTCTCTTGTACAGTATATTAGGTGTTCAAAAACTGATTTTGGATGCTATAATGTCACGGAGCCGCCTATAGATGCGTCTAGAGATCCATTGTATAAAACTAAAAGGTCAATTCTGGCGCTTTATGCTTTCCTATATGTATGTACTTAATGCCATACCTATCTCATATTGTTTGTCGTCTATTACAGGTTTTCTTAACAACACATTACAGAAATAGACGAGCAAATGATTCAGAGTTTGTGCTTGATTTTGAAGAAATATATGTTATTGACTCGAAATCTAAATCCATAACCAGGGCTAAAGTTTTGGTAAGAAATTTGTTACTACCTTCATTGTCATTTTTATGTAGGAACAAAGGCACATGCGTTTTACATCTTTGGCTATATATTTGGCCATATCACTACACAAATCTATTCTAAGGATTTTGAATCCTTAGACAATAGTTTTAGGTGCTCAAATTGAAACAACACAATCAAGCTACAGGCCTTTTTTAATCTGTACATGTCTAATCCATAGTACTTGATGCCCTTTGTGTTGTATAAATTCCACTTCCACAAGCATGCATGAGTCCTAATTTAAAGTGCAAACACATTTTGGGGTGCTTTCACCAGAAGCATTTTCTAATAATAGGATATGATATTACTATATTGTACACTGTAATATATAATAGAGAAACCAAAGAGAGGAAAATTGAACAGAAAGGAAAAACGAGTGCTTGGGAAAATTAGAATGCAGGAGTTCCTCAAGTTTCAGTTTGTTTACTTTATCCCAGAGAACACAACTTGAATGCCAGGTGCATTCCCTACATTTTTTTGTTCATAAAACAGTAAGGTGTATAGTTCGGATCATTTTCACTAGGGGCCGGTCCAGTCCATAGCCTTCTTCTATTGGAGATATTTCCCAACAAAATTCATGCAAAAGCTATGGCCACATGCATGTGCGTGCATTGAGTATGTACTCTACAATTTAGTCATCTATTTACGCTTATTTATTAACCATTCTGCCTTTTTCCCTTGGATTTAGAATAGATAATTAGCCACAAAAATATTGCATTAAAAGCTTTAGAGCGGAATCCTAATTAATAAACGAATTTTTTTTTGGATGACCGTGGATTGCATATCTTGGTACATCACCAACTTGAAGCCAGTTATCAAACAAATTATGTTGAATTGGACAACTTTTACTCAGGATGGAAAGTTTTATAGCATATATATGAGAAACTTGATATCCATCACATTAATCTTATTAAGTCTATTTTAAAACTTCAGGTGGTGAATTTTTTCGTTGGTTTGCTGTTTTTGCCATTGCTGGAACGATTAGGGTCGCAGATGCTATACTTTATGTTTGTGTTCTTCTGTTTGATTGCAGCAATATTTGTGAGGAGAAATGTTGTGGAAACAGAAGGCAAGACTCTACAGGAAATTGAAATCTCACTTCTCCAACCTGAGTAAAGGTACTATCAATTGCTACCATTATTATTCAAAATTGTAATGTTTTTTTATGTAGTAAACCGAGATAGTCCTTAAGGTCCATATTTAATCCTTAGTGCTTGTTGGCTCCCATAAGATCTATGAACTGCGCAATGTAGATGTGGAAATGACCACTTGTATATTTGCTCTCTTGGAGATAGAGACATCATGGAAATGCATAAGGAGATTCTTTGAAAATATTTTATGCTGGAAATCTACAGAAACAATTGTGTTCAAGTACCTTGAATTGTGATATATAATTTGTACTACATTACTAATTTTTGCAAGTCATCAGATATATTCACGTTCTTAATGTGATGCACTGCAGGTCAGAATGGCTGATAAACAAGTAGCAAATAGTTATTCAACATATTGTGAGGAAATAAATTGAGTGGGGGCCACAAGGTCACATGGTGCGTGAGACAACTGCCCACAATCACAATTAGAAGGCCCACCCGATTCTATTTCCTATATAAAACCGATTTCCTCTTCCTAGGTTTTTGTGCCAAGGAAGTTTGGGATTTGTTTCTTTGCGGCTGACTTCGAGAGAGCAAAGTGCAGAGGTTTTTTTTTTTGTCTTGCGGCTACAGCAAAGAATTTGAGTGCAGGAGATTTTTTCTTCTTTGGTTTTTTGTGCATCTTTTTGTAGAGAGAGTTTGTGAGGGATTTAAGAGAGTTTGTTTGAGGGTTTAGATTGTGAGTGATTGTAAACCCTAGTTGTATTCTCTCCCTCTATTAGTAGATCTCTCCCCCTCCTTGCCCCGTGGACGTAGGTAATTTGCCGAACCACGTAAAAATTGGTTGTACTGCTATTTGTGTGATTTGTAATAGCTTTTAGGTTCCTTCGACGCGCAGTCCTAGAGCTGACGAGAGGAAGAGCAAATATCCCACTTTGATGGGATATTAGGCTTCAGATTCTTGTTCCCTTTGAGAAACAAGAATTCTTATTGCGATCTGACTCTCTTGTTGTGCTGTCGAAGTGTTGCCGAAATTTCCGCTGCGCGCAACAAGTGGTATCAGAGCCCAGGTTTCAGATCTAGGGTTTTGGAGTTTGGTGGAGGAAGATTTTTGTGTGAAGCTTGGTTCTTGGAGTTCTAGGCTTCGGTGGAGATAGCATTAGGAGTTGCCGTTGGAGATTTCGCTTTCCTCGTGTGGATAAGAGATCTATTTGGAATCCGATCTAGGGTTCAGTTGGGTGGTTCCTAATTTCTATCAACTCAGAATTTGGAAGAGACCATCATGGTCCACGAGAGGCCACCTAAATATGAAGAGGCGGTATGGGAGAAAATGAATAGGAACGCTTGTGGGGTGATCAGGTCCTGTTTGGAACAGGAGCTGAAATATGATGTGATTGGGGTGACGTCTGCAATGAAGATGTGGGAAATTCTCAACAATAAGTATCTCACAAAGAGTGTTGAGAACAGGTTGCACTTGCTGCGAAGACTCTTCAGATTTCAGATGTCCAGAGGCACCTCGCTAGCGGCTCATGTGAACAACTACACTAAGTTGTTGTCGGACTTGGCGAATGTTGATGAGAAGATATCGGATGAGTACAAGGCGATTATTTTGTTGGGCTCCTTACCCGATGAGGAGTATGATACCTTTGTGCTCACTTTGTTGAACGGGAGATCTTATATCGGCTATAGTGAAGTGACTAGCGCTTTGACCAATTATGATTTGAGGAGGAAGGACAAGGAGACTTCCCGTGCTAGCACTTCAGGCGAGGCCTTGTCGACGAGAGGTAGAAGCCCATATCCGAAAGGTGGTAACAGAGGTAGGTCAAAGTCTAGAGGCCGCCACCAATTAGCAAAGAACCAATGTGCATTCTGCAATGAGCAGGGACATTGGAAGAGAGACTGCCCGAAGCTCAAGGAGAAAGAGAATGACAAGAAAAAGGGCCCGAAGGCCAATGAGGTGAACATTGCGAAAGGCGATGATTCCGATGATTCGTGTTTTTCTCTACTGATTACTCCGGAGGTGAACCATGTGGATGCATCAGATTGGATGCTTGATTCCGGCGCTACCTTTCATGTGACCCCTAGGCGAGACTGGTTTGCATCTTTTGAGAAAGTCGACGGGGGTGTTGTTGTCATGGGAAATGATCAATCCTGTAGCATTTTTGGGATAGGTACCGTACGGATTAGGATGCACGATGGAGTAGTCCGTGAGTTGAAGGAGGTGAGATTTGTTCTTCAACTAAAGAAAAATCTTATCTCAGTTGGAGCTTTGGAGGCGAAGGGATTCAAGGTGACTTTCGAAAACGCTGTAGCGAAGGTTACTAAGGGATCATTGGTGGTGATGAAGGGAGTCCGCAATCGAAATTTGTATTATCTGAAGGGAAGCACCGAGATTGGCCAGGTTGCTTTGGTTATTTCAGAAGCGGACATGAGCAGACTTTGACACTATAGGTTGGGGCACACAGGTGAAAAGTCACTGTAGGCATTATGCAAGCAGGGGCTATTAAAGGGAGCCAAGAGTGAGAAGATTGAGTTCTGTGAGCACTGTGTTCTTGGCAAGAAGACGAATGTGAAGTTTGGAACTGCCATTCATCAGACGAGGGGCATCCTGGACTACGTGCACACAGGCGTTTGGGGTCCTACCAAGACTGCATCACTTGGTGGTCGACATTGGTTCGTCACTTTCGTAGATGACTATTCTAGGCGTTGTTGGGTGTACACCATGACGAAGAAGAGTGAAGTCCTAGATTTGTTTATGGAGTGGAAGAAGAGATTGGAACTGCAGACTGGGAGAAAGATCAAGACGTTGCGATCCGACAACGGTGGTGAGTATACTTCTGACCCCTTTCAGCAGCTATGTCGAGACGAGGGCATAGAGAGACACTTCACGGTTAGTCATATACCGCAGCAGAATGGGGTGACAGAGAGATTAAATCGGTCTTTACTGGAGAAGATCCGATGCTTATTGTCACAGAGTGGTTTGGAGAAGATCTTTTGGGCTGAGGCACTTACATATGCGAGCCACCTCATTAATAGGCTGCCTTCATCTGCGATTGAGGGGAAAACCCCTATGGAGATGTGGTCGGGAAAGCCAGCACATGACTATGACCAGCTCAAGGTATTCGGGTGCCCTGCATATTATCATGTTAGAACTGATAAATTAGAACATCGAGCTAGGAAGGCCATATTTGTAGGATTCAAGCGTGGTGTCAAGGGATAAAAGCTTTGGGATCCAGTTGATAAGAAGATTGTGCTGAGTAGGGACGTCACGTTTGATGAAGCTTCCATCTTGAAGCTTCCCAGCTCTCATCAGGTGGAGAGCGACCCGACGGAGGAGATATCGCAGGTGGTGGAGATTGATGCAGCTCCACACTGTCCAGATGGTACAGTATCCATGCAGGTGTCGACTGAGGTGACGCCAGGCGAGCACGACGGTGATACGGAGGATACAGGTACTAATGTGTAGAATCAGGAACCGACGGCTCAGGTTCAGGATTCTATTGCGGCTAGGAGACAGAGGAGAAACATACAGATGCCAGCACGGTATGCCGACACAGTTGCGTATGCATTTCCGGTGGAAAGTATCGATGAGTTAGTGCCTACTACATTCAGAGAGGCCGAACAGAGTTCGGAGGCTGATTCGTGGCAGGTGGCTATGCAGGAGGAGATGGAATCTCTTCATAAGAACGATACATGGGAGCTTGTTGAGCTTCCAAAGGGGCGGAAGGCAATTGGTTGCAAGTGGGTATACACGAAGAAGGAGGGCATTGAAGGCACTCCGTTGAGATTCAAGGCTAGGTTGGTTGCGAAGGGCTATGCACAGGAGGAAGGAATAGATTATAATGAGGTTTTCTCCCCGGTGGTGAAGCATTCTTCGATTCGGATTTTGCTAGCTTTGGTGGCACAGTATGGTTTGAAGTTAGATCAGTTGGATGTGAAGACGGCATTTCTTCATGGTGATCTTGATGAAGAAATATATATGACTCAGCCATTGGGATTCCGAGCACAGTATGGATTAGAGTTAGATCAGTTGGATGTGATGACAACATTTCTTCATGGTGATCTTGATGAAGAAATATATATGACTCAGCCATTGGGATTCCGAGCTGCAGGGAAGGAAAAATTAGTTTGCAGATTGAAGAAATCGCTATACGGTTTGAAACAGTCTCCTCGACAGTGGTATAGGCGATTCGATGGTTTTATGCTTGGTCATTCGTACACTCGGAGCCAGTTTGATCCTTGCGGATATTTTCGCAAGTTAAAAGGAGGTGCGTACATTTATTTGTTACTCTATGTCGATGACATGTTGGTTGCCTCTATTTCCAGGTCGGCTATAGATGAGTTGAAAGTTCAGCTTTCAAATGAGTTTGAGATGAAGGACTTGGGCGAGGCGAAGCGCATTCTAGGGATGGAGATCGGCAGAGACAAGAAGAAGGGTAGAATTTGTTTGACACAGGTGGCTTATTTGAAGAAGGTTCTACAGCGATTCCATGTTAGTATGGATACGAAGCCAGTTAGTGTATCATTGAGAGCCCATTTGAAGCTTTCAGCTGGTCTTTCACCGAAGTCAGTTGAAGATCGTGAGTTGATGTCGAAGACTCCATATGCGAGTGCGGTTGGGAGCTTGATGTACGCAATGGTATGTACGAGGCCAGATTTGTCACAGGCGGTAAGCATGGTATCGAGATACATGCACGATCCAGGAGTGGGTCATTGGGACGCCATGAGATGGATTTTGAGGTACATTCGAGGTACGCTCAATGTTGGTTTGGTGTATGAGCGGGACATTACAGGTGGGCAGTCATGCATTGGTTATGTTGATTCGGATTATGTCGGGGATTTGGATAAACGCCGGTCTACAACGGGGTATGTGTTTACTTTGACCCGTGCGTCGGTGTGTTGGAGATGCACCTTACAGTCTACGGTGGCTTTGTCTACGACGGAGGCAGAGTATATGGCAGTTACAGAGGCTGTGAAGGAGGCTATTTGATTTCGAGGACTTTTGGAGGAACTTGGTATATCGCAGAGGTCCGTCACTATTCATTGTGATAGCATGAGTGCTATCTATTTGGCGAAGAATCAGGTTTTTCATGCGAGAACGAAGCATATTGACGTTCGTTATCACTTCGTTCGGGATGTTGTTGAAGATGGCGATGTGGAAATTGTGAAAGTCCACACGAAGGATAACCCGGCGGATATGCTCACCAAGGTGGTTCCGAGCAACAAGTTTGATCATTGTCGAAACTTGTTACATATTCGTGATTGTTGAGGCCGTTGGCGGCCATTTTGGTGAACTACGTTCGGCTTGATTCCTTGGGCAAGAGGATACGTAGGCAGTCTTTCAGATGCAGTCGGTATGGATTAGTTGAGTTGATGGGGTGAGATTGTTTGGACTCTCGTTCGGGTTCTCGACTTGTTGTGGATTGAGTTCGTACTGGACACAACAAGTGGGACATTTGGTTGCTTTGGTGTCGGCTCAGTTTTGGGAAAACTTCACTGGGGTGGAGAATTGTGAGGAAATAAATTGAGTGGGGGCCACAAGGTCACATGTTGCGTGAGACAACTGCCCACAATCACAATTAGAAGGCCCACCCGATTCTATTTCCTATATAAAACCGATTTCCTCTTCCTAGGTTTTTGTGCCAAGGAGGTTTGGGATTTGTTTCTTTGCGGCTGACTGCGAGAGAGCAAAGTGCAGAGGTTTTTTTTTTTGTCTTGCGGCTACAGCAAAGAATTTGAGTGCAGGAGATTTTTTCTTCTTTGGTTTTTTGTGCATCTTTTTGTAGAGAGATTTTGTGAGGGATTTAAGAGAGTTTGTTTGAGGGTTTAGATTATGAGTGATTGTAAACCCTAGTTGTATTCTCTCCCTCTATTAGTAGATCTCTCCCCCTCCTTGCCCCGTGGACGTAGGCAATTTGTCGAACCACGTAAAAATTGGTTGTACTGCTATTTGTGTGATTTGTAATAGCTTTTAGGTTCCCTCGACGCGCAGTCCTAGAGCTGACGAGAGGAAGAGCAAATATCCCACTTTGATGGGATATTAGGCTTCAGATTCTTGTTCCCTTTAAGAAACAAGAATTCTTATTGCGATCTGACTCTCTTGTTGTGCTGCCGAAGTGCTGCCGAAATTTCCGCTGCGCGCAACACATATTCCATGCCGTAATACAGAAACTGTAGCAAATGAGGAACTCTGGATTCACTAGCTTCAAAGAATAAAAAACCGATCCTGCTCTTTCTTCTTTTTATAAGAAGAATATGGAAGTTTTTGATTGTTCTATTCTAGAATTTTTCTTCTTTTCATTTACTCATTTAGTTTTATGATACATGTACAATTCGATGAATTTTTTTAATTGTTATGTGAAATTTTTGACCATCTTGTTGTTACAGGGGATTGCCTTCAGTCTAGATGGACAGTAGACAACATTGGTGATTCTCTTGGGGAGACTCTCATGGGGTCTCCTAATTATTTCAAAAGCAATTAGAGGTACTTTCTTTCAATTTCAAAATGCTCTAGCGCTGTAATATGCCGATGGACACTGATAAAAAGCATCTGAACATGCATTTCCACCTGATTACACATTGCATGACTAATGACTTAGATATCCAGCATGCTGCATGCTGGAAGCCCACCTTCCTAATATATTTGATATATTCCCCCTGCTATGGACTTGTCAATTTCAGCAGTCTCTACTCTTTTTTATTCACATTCTTAGGAAAATAAACTGCATCATTCTTTCTTAATACTGAATTCATGTTTCTCTTGACATTTTTGCCTAATATATTTGTTTTTTCCCTTATGTAACAGGTAGCTATAGCCAAAGGGAAAAAAACGATTGAGTAATTCCAAGGCCGATAACTCTCATATTGAATTGGACTACCAGGATAAAGAAGATTATATATGATTCTCCAAGCATTGGATCACATTTAAGCTGAACATTGTTTGACGTAAAGTATGGCGATGCATCTATAATTAACTTCGAACAAAATCACTATTGATTGTACATTTGTTTGTTTACAAATGATCACACAGGGTATAAGTACTGCTGAATGCTATTATCCCTTTGCACAATGTCAAATTTGCTTTCACAAAGTATGATTATCTGAAATTATTACATAAGAATTTATTTTTCAATTATTATAATTGAGTTCAAATTCCTCCCTTTCCCCGTGTCACGCGGGGGTTATTTGCTAGTAAAATATATAGTAGTATTTGTTTGAGCTATATATATGTAGCTAATAATCTGACGTTGTATTTTCTCTAACAGGAAATAATAAAAAAACTGATGGAAAGGCTACCACACATGAAAGAGCTTATGGATATGTATTGTGGCCCTGATAGAGTGACTACAAAGCAACAAATGCAGGAGTTAGGCAGAGTCGCAAAAACTCTACCAGAGAATATATCTTCATCTGTGAAGATGTTCACTGATCGTGCCGTTCTTTCACTTCAAGTTTTCTTTTTTTCAACTTAGTTTAGTTTCCTGTAAATCTTATAATGTGTCATTCTCTGAAATGGAAAACACTGAATATGACAAACTGGAATATTTAAACAGGCTTTGAGTGTTGACTTGGAAATGGAAATGAATGTAATTATTTTGCAATGGGAGCAAATTCTTTGTTTATCATAATATGCAACTTGTTTGGAGTATAATTTGATGTTTGGTTTCTTTGTTGATGTGAATGTGAGTAAATTTTTTGTGGATGTTCAGGTTCAGTCTAGGCTTGTAGTTGACAAAAAAGATATTATTTTTACCGATGCATAATTATGCTTTGTCAAAAATTATACTTTTCCCGACATTATCTTGCGTCGTTAAAAGTATAGCTTTTAGTGACGCTATCTTGCGTCGTCAAAAGTATAGCTTTTAGCGACGCTTCACTCTGTGTCGCTAAAAGCTGTACTTTTGCTGACGCTAACTTGCGTCGTCAAAAGTATAGTTTTTTAGCGACGAACAATTTTGCGTCGCTAAAAGCTATACTTTTGCCGACGCATAGCTTTTGCGGACGCTGCATGCGTCGCTAAACTTTTACCGACACAAAATATTATGCGTCGCTAAAAGATATACTTTTCTCGACGCATGATGCGTCGCCAAAAGTGTACTTTTGGCGACGCAGTGTATTTGCGTCGCCAAATACTTTCCTTGACGCACTTTTGGCGACGCGTTAGCGACGCGCGCTGCATTTTGCGTCAGAAAAGATTTTTCCCGATGTTTTTTTAACTTTTACCGACGTTTTTGTTTCATCGGCAATGTTATATTTTGTTGTAGTGTACATAAATTAGAGATAACACGATACAAATTAGAACTAACACTGGAGAAGTTAGAACTAACATGGCATAAATTAGAACTAACATGGCATTTAGACCCAACACTACTTACGATAGGAATATCGCATAATAAATTAGAACTAATATGATTGTAGGATGTCTAAAAATCATTATAGATAGCTGATCCCCCATCAAACATCAATGATGAAAGTTACAATCTGACGACTTTCACACTCCAAAACAGTCAAGGCAAAGTCACTCAACAATGGTCTTTACAAACGCTCTACAGAAGAAGTTATAAGTCATTAGCTCCTTCTAAAACGCGGAATTCACCTTCGCGTTTCAGTTCTTGAAACGCAGGCGACCCCTGCATTTCCAACCCTTAGCAAAAAAAACACGGATGGCCCCCATATTTTTCAATCCTAAAAAGACTCCTAGTAAGACGAGAATTACAAAAAAAGACTCCTAGTAAGGACGTGGCCTAAAATCACATGATTGAGCTACATTGTGGATGATCCGCTCTGTTGAACTTGATCTACATATTCTAAAATCCCAACACACCAAGTTTGGGGTGAACTCGTCGTCGTTTGACCCTCCGTCGAGTCATGTGAAAATTTCTATTCATTTGAAACCGTTAAAATTGATACAAGTCGATGAATGGTCAATAGACGACGGGTTCACCTAAAACTTGGTGTGTTGGGGTTTTGAAATATGTAGATCAAGTTCAACGGAGCAGATCATCCATAATGTAGCTCAATCATGTGATTTTAAACCATGTCCTTATATGATTATCTAAGGCGTTACCTTAGGAACACTTTACATGTTCATCCTTTCTCAATATATAGAGGAAGGAAATCTTAGGTTATGCATGCTGTGCTCCCTCAACAGGTAAATACCCTTACAACTATGTAGAGTTGTATAGACTAGAATTTTTTGGTTGGCGCATTATGCGTATTCTTTTCCTGCTAAGAGATTGTGGACTGCATATTAAACATTTGTTTCTGGTTCTAGTGCAGGTAGAGATTTAATTTGTGCACTGCTGTGGTTTTTTTTTCCGGTGGTATTGGATGTGCATGTTGATGAGGAATAGTACTTTGCTCTGGTCATGAGATTCATGATCAGGTGAGATACTTAAAAGCATGCACACTGAAGTTATTTTTGACAAGAAAGTTTGATAGTGTATATAAATGGCCGTTTTAAGTATAAGGCAGAGGTTTTAAGGCTTAATTTGGTAGGGGAAGTTTGTGGTTATAGTAATGATATATAGAAATTATGCAGCTGATTTGCATTGTATGTGGGAAGGTTCCAGACTGTAGGAGGAGGAGATCCTGTCTGGAGCGACGAGAGAAAGCTAAATCAGCAATCCTGACATGTAACTTTTAGTTAATAATACGGCCGGGGTGCGGCAAAGTTAATACGTCCTCCAAAATAGCTAATTATGGCAATTAATAATTTTTTTAAAAAAATATTAATTGCAAAATGTTCTACTGTTTATGCATCCAAGTAGTAATCGGAAAGCCCACCAATTCTCCAAAGAATTCCGTTGTACTCCTCCATGTTGATTAACAAGTGTTCGATGGTTTTCTAGGTGGCTGAGCAAGAGTCTTATATATCCTATCGAGAATGGCTCCGCGAAGTTGGACCTACAGATACACCCAGAAAATAAGAAACTAGAGTTACGTGTGTACCCAGGTGTATGAAGAGGTTGGAGAGGATGAAAGTGTGAACACGTGGGGGCCCACCTACGTGTGTGAACTCGTTCACGAATGCAGTTTGGTTGCGTGGGGGCTACACCCATCCCATCACGAGACTTCAATTGGGGATGAAAATTGCGTGGGGGCCACAATGTTGACCAAGTGACGCACAGGGAGATGGAGATTATGACATTGGACTTGAAGACGATGAGTATTCAATCCAAGGTACATGATGGAGGAGATAGAGGCATCCGGCTCGTAGTGTGGAGTAGGAGAGGTGCACCGATATGATTCGAGACAAGCGATGCAGGTGGAGCACAATGACAACAAGTAGGGGTGGCTATTGTCAGTCTAAAATTGGGGGGACAAGCATGATTAATTTGCTTTTATTTTCAGAGGTGGCGAAGATCTCTTGGTGTACACAAGAGAGGTGGAGGCGCCACGGTAAAGCAGATGATAATGAGGGTCACGAGATAACCAGTTGGAGTGCAGGTGTTCTGATTAGGAGTGTGGCTGCTTCGATTTGAAGTGCGAAAGAAATAGAAGACTCTAGTAGCAGAGACAAAGTTTCAAGACGACGATAATATCTTCAAGAGAGTTTGAGAGTCAAATCCAATATGGAGATTGTTGGAATTGTGCCTTTGATTCTTTGTAGAACTCCATGAGAATTAGATAGGGTTAGAGATCTATCATGATTAGGGTTTGGGTTCCATCATAATTAGGAGTTTGAATCCTATTCTAATTAGGAAGTTAGGCTAGAGATAGTGTTTTGGTTTCCCTATATATATTCTTCTATTGTTGGAGGAAAAACTAAGAAGAAGAAGATAGTAGAGGGAAGATGTAGTAGTAGAGAGAGAGAGCCAATATTCTTGTAATCTAGGGTTAGCAGAGGGCGTAGCCTGATTCAAGAATATTGTGCGAGAGGCGAGGGTTTCATAATCTTTATCCGTGCAAAAGATTACAAAGAGTGGGATTTGGAGAGAATATGAAAGTTAATTATGTATATGAGGATTGAGAGATTAAGAGACAGAGTTGAGTGGTTCCTCTTGTAGTTCTCCCTGATACATAGTGAATTTCTCGTATTGTTGCCCCGTGGACGTAGGTCGAAGTTGGTCGACCGAACCACATAAATCCCGGTGTTCTTTTTTTCTTGATTGTGGTCATTTTATATTATGTTGATTGTGGGTTAGCTTCGGAGTTGCACATATTATAGTAGGCGGGGAGAGTGAAATTCCCCAACAAGTGGTATCAGAGCGATGGTGATGGATCCGAGAGCGAATTTGCAAGATAGAAGACGACGTCGTGCAAGGTTGAAGATCAGCGTTACAAAAATCAATATGAAAAGAAAAAAAAAACTCTATAGCAGTGGCATGAACGCTGTAGTGGCGCGGCGGGTACTGTTCACACAGATTCAACGGTTGAGATTGATTAGTCTTTTGATCGAGGATTTGGAGGCGGATTTTGGTGATCCAGGAGTCGTTCCTAGGGTTTTTCGACGTGTTGAGTTTGTTTTTGGGGTCGGTTTTATCAAATTCAATCTTTATAGTGACTGATTTGAATTTTGATCGTGGTTAGAGAATGATGACTTCTTCGGGTCTGAAGTTCGATATTCCGCTATTCAACGGCAAGACAAATCTGATGGTAGATAAGGAGCATAAGTTAGTTGGTTTGCAGACTGGAGGAGGACAATATAATATTAGGTGGAGCTTGTAAGCGGGCACGACCAAGTGACGCACAGGGAGATGGAGATTGTGACATTAGACTTAAAGACGATGAGCGCTCATATTCAGTCCAAGGTAAGTGATGGAAGAGATAGAGGCATCCGGCTCGTAGTGTGGAGTAGGAGAGGTGCACCGATATGATTCGAGACGAGAGATGTAGGTGGAGCACAATGACAACAAGTAGGGGGTGGCTAATATTAGTCTCAAATTGGGAGGACAAGCATGATTGATTTGCTTTTATTGTCAGAGGTGGCGAAGATCTCTTGGTGTACATAATAGAGGTGGAGGCGCCACAGTGAAGCGGATGATAGTGAGGGTCACGAGACAACCAGTTGGAGTATAGGTATTCTGATTAGGAGTGTGACTGCTTCGATTTGAAGTGCGAAAGAAATAGAAGATTCTAGCGGCAGAGGCAAAGTTTCAAGACGACGATAATACTTTCAAGAGAGTTTGAGAGTCAAATCCAATGTGGAGATTGTTGGGATTGTGTCTTTGATTCTTTGTAGAACTTCATGAGAATTAGATATGGTTAGAGATCTATCATGGTAAGAGATCTATCATGATTAGGAGTTTGAATCATATTCTAATTAGGAAGTTAGACTAGAGATAGGAGTTTGGTTTCCCTATATATATTCTTCTATTGTTGGATGAAAAACTAAGAAGAAGAAGAGAGTAGAGGGAAGATGTAGTAGTAGAGAGAGAGAGAGAGCCAATATTCTTGTAATCTAGGGTTAGCAGAGGGCGTAGCCTGATTCAAGAATATTGTGCGAGAGGCGAGGGTTTTGTGATCTTTATCCATGCAAAAGATTACAAGGAGTAGGCTTTAGAGAGAATATGAAAGTTGATTATGTATATGAGGATTGAGTGATTGAGCGACGAGAGTTGAGTGGTTCCTCTTATAGTTCTCCTTGATACATAGTGAATTTCTCGTAT